TTCATCCATTCCATTATGGAGTTGAGGCACAAGTTCAGAACAGCGACTGCCACACCTGGATTGGTAGAGAATGAGAGGTAGAGCTGGGTGTTGTCAGCATATTGCTGACTCCTCAGCCCAAACCTTCTTTGGGTTGGGAGATGGCATGGTTGGGCTCAACACGGACCGATGCAATTCTTGTCTAGGGATAAGAGTCGAGGTAGGCTCCATGGAATTGGCTGAGTGGGGCTGCTCCTTCACCTCTGCCTCCTTCCGTTGGGTTGGGAGATGGCATGGTTGGGCTCAACACGGACCGATGCAATTCTTGTCTAGGGATAAGAGTTGAGGTAGGCTCCATGGAAGTGGCCAAGTGGGGCTGCTCCTTCACCTCTGCCTCCTTCCGTATATAAAATGACCCTCAAATTTTTCCTCTAATGATTTTCGGAAAAAATGTTTTATACACAGAAAAATACAGTAGTTAATTCCAATATCTGTTTGTAATGTGATAGATTGTATAAAATAAAGTTTTGTTATTCACTTTTACGTCTTCAGCATTTATGGCTTAGGAATATATCACAATAATATTAGGACATTTTAAAAAAATCTTCATATATTATAAAACTTACCTATAATTACATAGGTATACACCTATATGCATTTCAGAATTCTTTTCAAATATTGCAGTATGATTTTTCATCTGTCATAACTGCTAGACTAGGATTTTCCATTAGGGGGAGTGTTGCGCTATATCTCAGTTAAAAAGAACTGTATGTAAAATGAAAAAGTTTATGTCCATGAATTCAAGTTGGTATAGGTACCAAACTTATTGTTTGTAAGTAAGAAAGGAAAAAGTCAACCACTCCCACCCCTTGTTTGGAGTGGTGGGGAGGGTCTCTTCGATTATGGGCTCCAAGACCTCAAGACTCTCATTGTTGCTCAAACTAGTCTTTATTAAGGTGGGAGGTAGGATAAGAAAGTTGTTCAGTTGCCTGACTCCTCCTGTCCTTACTGCTCAAAGATAGGCTTAGTTGTCTCCAATAGATCTCGCCCCCCCCAGTAGTCTTCTGTCCTCAGCCAGGCCCGAATTTCAGACACTGGGTTGGCATTGTCTAGAGTTCACGGCGGGGCTCTACTTTTCTGCACTGACCCCTTTAAGGAAGGCATGTAATGCTGGGTTGGCACAGATCTCCATGTTCCCAAGGATTATTCTGCCTCTAGACAGTCTGCTGCAGGCATGCTTTATGCTTCTTCCTCCACCAGCGCCTCCTCTGGGTTAGGGTGGGGCTGAGGGCTCAGCATGGCATCTTTGTCTCAATGGAGCAGGTCTCAGGGGAATGAGCAACAGCATGCTTCCCATGCATTCACATCTTCTAGCTGTACAGAATTGGACCCATTCTCCAGTGCAAAGGTCCTGCATCACCAGTGAGCTATCTTCTCTGAAGGCACAGAAAATGGGAGGGGAATTCTCCAAGGCCTTTGCCCTGTCCTCCCCCTCCCAGACTGTCAAGGGCAACAAGCTCCCTTCCTCTTGCCCCCCTTCTCCCTCCTCCTTTAAGCCTGGGTTCTGCCAACCTGGCTCAGCCTCCACCCCAAGCCTCAGGTACAGTGCACCTCGGGCCTTATATTCTCTCCCTGTGCCCTTACGCCTCTGTGTCACCAGGAGCTCTGTGAAGTCCACGGGCGGGGGGGGGAGGCCATGGGTCTAAGGCAGACAGCCCACCAGGGACAGCCAGAGCATTTCCCTTACAGGTCCCATCTGGCAAATGGCCCGTTGTCTCTTCATCTTCCTTTAGTCAAGGAACCTGCTAAGAGAAATGATCCACATTAACATGTGTTTTCCGCTTCCTATACTGTACTCTCAAATCAAAGGATTGTAGAGCTAGGTATAAAAGTGTTAAGTGACTGTAGGTGTCCTTTATCTGTACTAACCACTGGAGGGGGACATAATTTTTGCCTCCCCCAGTCAGTCAGATATGCCCTTCCCTTTTGTTAAGATCCAAGTCTGCACCCTCCCCTGGGTTAGGTGCTCAAAGCCTTTCCAACATCTCCTCTCCAAGACTTATTGGGATAAGGCAGATACTATCCTTACCTGCAGCTGATGCTTCTGATGCTCCACCTGCACTGTTGCCCAACAAGTTGCATAGGACCTAATATCCTCATGGATACATTACATTAACACATTTCAGGAGTTCTCTTCCCATGCATGTTTCTAACTAAAGTCTGGCCACACCCCATGTCTACCAGTGCCTGTTATCTTAATCCCATTTATTATGACCTCCACCTCCCAGCCTGGTGTTTCTTTGGTGTACACCTGGGAAATTGAGAGTGCACTCACCCACGAGCAGTCCATGAGGGGGCACTCCTTTTTGAAGTGCTCTTCTTGTCCACAGATGTGATGCAACTGTTTCAAAGTCCAGCCAGGCTAGGGCACTGACATGCCTGGCTCCACAGTAATGGGACACAGCAGTGGGGCCATAGTGAGGTTCCCTTTGGTGATAGGCAGGGTGACATGGGAATCTTGGTGTAAGATGGACAAAGGAACAACCTTGTCTTGCTATGGTTGACTAGTAGTCTTGCCATTCCATGGGGGCCCTCATCTGTAGTGAAGAAAGCCTCCAACAGGGTCATACTTCCTCCACTGAGTCCAGCTGGTGTCTATTTATCCAATTCAGGAGGGCAGGTCCCAGTGTGGTAACCATCTGTTCCAAGATAATTAATTCCAAAAGCTCATTGGTGGAGCAGGCTGCTGGTTTCAGCCACCGAGTTGTGTTGGCCTGCATCTGCTAGGCAACCGGCAGGGAATGGAATTAGCCTTAACAGGCAATTCTCAAAATCATTGATATTAAGTCTCTTCAGTTTAATTTAAGGGAATTAAACAACATGTTTGATGTTGTCATAGTCAGTGGCTTCCACCGAAGCAAAGGTGTCCACAATCCCTTGGGCCAGGTCCATGAGACAGGGAGCCAAAATCAAGGCTCAATGGTCTTGGGGCCACCGAGCAGAGACAGTGACTTGCTCAAACATGTTCAAGAACACCTCTCAGTTGTCTTTGGTCCCCATCTTGTTGATCTGGACTGACTATGGATTTTTGCACCAAAGAGATGTACTAGCAGTCCTGCCTGAGTCTGTTGGTATGCCAACAACCCTTTGCATAACATTTAAGACTGCTCACTAACCAGCTGATGAATCAATAGGTCCTGCTTCTCAAATATCCAGGAAAGCCACTGGTTCAGGTTCCCTGGGTTTAATGGAAAAGCTCCACTTTGGGTGTCACTGTGACTGTGACTTCTGTTGTTGTTCAAACTAGTCAGGGTGGGGAGTAGATACAAAGGTGGGTCAGGTGCTTGACTCCTCCTGTCCTGACCACTGACTGGGAGGTTTAGTTGCCCTATGGCCTTCTGTCCCAAGCCAAGACCAAGTTCCAGTCACTGGGCTGGCACTGTCTCTAATCCAAACCTGGGGCCTAATTTTCCACACTGACCCCATGCAGCTAAGGCTTTTGAAGGAGGGCCAGTAATGTCAAGCTGAAATAAGCCCTATGTTCCCAAGTTCCCGCCTAGAGTGGTCTAATAAGATCAGATAGGCGGGATAGAAATAAAATAAATAAATAAATAAATAAATAAAGTTTAGTCCTGTCTTCAGAGGCAGACATTCTTTGTGACGCTTCCTCTGCCAGCACCTCTTCTGAGTGGGAGTAGATGTCTCTGTCTCCTTGAAGGGAGGAGCGTCAACAGCAGCACATCTCCTGAGCTGTGTCCTCTAGCTGTACAGAACTGGACCGGTTCTCCAGTTCACAGGTCCTCCATCACTAGTCCTCAATTTTCCCTGAAGGAATACAATATGAGAGGGGGCTTCTCCAAGGGCCCTGGCCCACTCTTAGTTGTCAAGACCCTCTAAGCAAGTGGTCCTTGGGCCTCCAGATGTTCTTGGACTATAACTCCCAGAAGCCTTCACCACCACCACCTCTGCTGGCCAGGATTTCTGGGAGTTGAAGTCCAAGAACATCTGGAGGCCCAAGGTTGGGGAACACTGCTCTAAGCCCAGGTCTTGCCAACTTGGCCTGGGCTCCACTGCAACTTCCAGGTGCAGCACAACTGTCCCAGTCTTATTCCTTATATCTGGAGTCTCAAATTTACTCTCTGTGCCCTGGGACTGTATTGTCACCAGGCTCTCTGTGAGGTCTACCAACAGAGCATGCGTCCCTGTCTACTTGCAACTATCAGAGCAACCCGCCATACCCTGCCACTTGCAACCAAATAGAAAGTGAAGTTTCAATTGTATGTGAGGACTTCTGCTTGCGCACCATTAGATAGCACCCCACTGTAATTAATTAATCAGAATAATGGATCTTTTTCATTCAGATTCTGAAGTAGCAGATAACATGGGTGAAGGAAACTGTGTGATTCTCCTAACAAGCCATGATGGCAGGACAGGTGTGCCGTTTCACTTTAAGTGTCCCAAGCTTCGATTTGGGAGTCACAGAACCTATGGTACATTAGAAGTCGACCCACTTAGCAAAGATCATTAAAGGATGAAGAGGCAGCATGTGAGAATATAGGCAAATAAGACTATAAGCAATGTTATACTAACTGTCCTAGGAGTAAATCTGATTGAGCTTACTTCTGAGTAGACACAGGGTTGCACTACGCCAGGAGCTGGAATATATAATCCCTCTTTCTCTTTTTGCATTTTAAAAACTAACGGAAAATCCAGGCCAAACCTGTAATCTCTAAATTCAGAGATTACAGTGTCTGAGGAAGCAGGCGGTTTTCCTTTAAAAAGGCAAGAAGCCTATTCCGCTAAACTGGCCGCTGTCTTTTTAAGGGAAAACCTAAAAACCGCCTGCTTCCTCAGACACGGATTTAAGGGTTTATCCCACCCTCTGACAGCTCTATGATCCTTCTCCTCTTCCACCCCCCCTCCAAGTCCTAATAACGCTCTCCCCGGAAGCAGTCTTTCAACTCCCGCGGCTTTCTGTTGTTTTAAGAACCAGGGTGAGTCCTTCCGGTTGGGCAGTATTTATATCCGGTGAAGGGGGGGGAGAGAAGGCAACCGGAAGTGCTTTGCACTGCAAGCGCCAAACTGAACTCTATGCTTTTAACTCTTCCCCGTCTGGTTTTGTCTTCTGAGAGACACCAACGATGATCGTTGCCTCGTGAACCGCTTTTCGCTCCAAAGGCACTAATTGCTGAGCAATCATGTATTTCACCCTCGAAGCAAGAGGATGCCAAACCTTACTCACCGCACGGAGGTTGTTCCCGCGGAGGGCGGCAAACTTGAGAAAAATGGTAAGCGGTCTCAAGTTGTCTTCCAGGAGCTGCTTCGGAATCGTAAGGAGAAGGGGAGTCGCGCTCGTCTTAAAAAAGGAGCTGCAAGAACACAGTTATAGGTCGCCGTTTTGCCGGGCTAAGATTTCTAGTAATGCTAGCTGTGAGAAGAGGCCCCTGAATCGCAAGTTAACGTTTGCACTCTTTGTTTTGTTTTCTTCGAAGTCCTCAAAGGGAAACGACGCGAGCCTCAAAGAGAAGAGGAGCAAACTTTTGGCCCGGGGGCTGCCCAAGCAGAAGCCCATTGAAGGAGTCAAGCAAGTGCTGGTTGTAGCTTCTGGTAAAGGGGGTGTTGGAAAGTCGACCACGGCGGGTAAGTCTCTTATTTGCTCGTCCCTTCGTTTGCTGACATAGTTCCTTTCATTCACCTGGCTACTTTTTATAATACTGTATGTATACAGTGGACCCTTGACTTACAGACTTTTCGAGTTACAGACTTCTCTGGCCGCAAAATTTAGGTTTGACTTGCAGACTGAAATTTGACTTACAGACCAGAAAAAAACCAAAATGGAACAAAAATGGCCTGTTACGGGATTAATCGGTTTTCAATGCATTGTAGGTCAATGGAGATTCGACCTACAGACTTTTTGACCTGCAGCCACCGTTCCAATACGGATTAATTCTGTAAGTCGAGGGTCCACTGTAGAGTTCAGGCTGTCAATGTAGGAATGAGTCAACTCAATATTTAATTGGGGCTTTAAAAAAAAAACAACAAGTGAATTATAGCAATAAACAACTTTTGTTGCAGGGTATAAAACAGTTTCATTTGAAACTTTAAAAAAATTCTTCATCCTCATAAATGGAGCAATTTCCCTTTCCATGCAGAATTTGGTATAGTTTGGGAGGGTTTCTAGACATACGCAAGCAGAAACTAACTGAAGAGTTAATTCCAGAAAAAGATTTTTTTTTCATTCTGTAGACTTTATGTTGAGTTGTGTTTTTCACACCTTTCTGGATTTTCTTTTTCCCAAGTAAAAATTGCTATCACACTTCATCAGTTTTTGGTGGCATGTAAAGTTAACACATTATTTTCACACCTTTCTGGATTTTCTTTTTCCCAAGTAAAAATTGCTATCACACTTCATCAGTTTTTGGTGGCATGTAAAGTTAACACATTATTTAGGTCTACCATCAAATGCTTAAGAAAATAAATTTTATTTTCTGAAATTTGTCTGTCACTTGATTTGTTTCTTTGGCATAACTTACACTGTTCTGTGATTTCTGTTAATTCTATAGGTTCACAAATATACTGTATATCAGGTCATTGTTGGCATCATCCTATCTGAAACCCACTGGAATCTATTTCTTAGAAAGCATGCATGAATATGTGTTGTACAACCATTTTCATACTGGAGGCAGAGACAGCATGTAGTCCTGCAGATGTGATAATACTGCAGCTTGCATCACCCTAGGCAGGTTAGCCAATCATAAAGAATACAGTAACTGGTGTTGGAATCCAGTGTTATCTGGAGGATTACAAGTTAGATTAGTTCCTAGCTTATTCAGAAAGGGCTGCAGGCCCATCCCTGATCAAGTTTAAAGTAGGACTTCATTTAAAAAAATTGAAATAATTTTAAGGTTCATTTTCTGTGCGATTACCCATTAAAGGACTGACTGTTAAACAGTATTTAACAGGATGCTTCCATCTGGAGACTGTTAAAGATGATTTTATAAATGAAGGTATTAGCTATACATAGTCATTAGGAATAGAACAGTGAAAACATATATGCTGAATAGTTTTCATTTATAATGACCGCAGGAAGTTGAAATTTCAAAATGGGGGAAAGATATACATTGTGAAGAAGTAATCCATTCATCCAGTTGCAGTGAATAAAGAAGCAATAGTAACAAGCACTTACTAGTACTGAAGTAATCCTCCAGTTGCAGTGAATAAAGAAGCAATAGTAACAAGCACTTACTAGTACTGCACTTTAAAACCCTGTTAGGGTCTCCATAAAGCAGAAGTGACTTTATGGTAGTATAACATAACACAAATAAGGATGCTGTGACACAAAACCCCCCAGACAAGAAGACATAAAGACTAACTGCTTTAATTTAATGTGATTTTTCTTGATAAGTCCACTTCCTCAGACTTTAGAGTGAAACTGTATGACTGTTATATTAATGTATGGCCCCATAACTCTGTGTGTGTGTGTGTGTGTGTGTGTGTTCGTTCCGTGTCCTCAAGTCAGAATCAACTTACAATGGATCTAATAGGTCTTTAAGGTACATGAGATATTTAGGGACTGGTTTTACCAGTTCCACTCCCCCAGTGAGTTTCCATGGCTGAGCAGGGACTATACACCAAACTGGTATCTCATAACCAGGTGAGGATAGAGATAATTGATAAAGTAACAGTGTTTCATTAATAAAAGAATAGGACTATCAGGCTGTGAATAATTTTAATTAAGAGTTACAATTTCTGTTTCAATTATCAGTCCATGCATCTACAAAGTAATAAAAACATTGTCCACGCAAGTGACAAACTGTAGGAAAGATTTCACTTTCAGTCTCTTTCAAGTCTTTTAGAAAGTGTCCAAGTAGATTGAAATGTTCTGAAAAAGGTTTTTGTGGATTGCAATTTCTGATGTCAGATTTATGTCAGTCAATTATTTTGCATGTTGATGGTCCTTATTTGTCTGATGTAGAGTGGCAAAGGATGACATAGAGCACATTAACAAAGGAACAATGAAACACACCCCTTTTCCCATTGGGTGTGACATTGCTGGGTTTTGTAGATGTGCAGCCAGAATAAATGTGGGGACAGAGCTACTGTCTAGGTATGTAATAGGTTTTTGTTTCAATCTCTGTATCAGTGTTGTGTAGTCTGTTATGTGTCAATAGTTGTTTGAGTCTGAGAGGTTGTCTGTAGGCAAGTAAAGGCCTGCCACAAAGATCTTGGAAACGTGAAGTATTCTTTTCAGTGCTTTCAAACTATATGATTGTATGTGTACTTTAAAGTGGATATCTTGTCTAATGTGGAAAAGTGGGTAATGATCATCTCAGAGATGGTGTGAGGACTTGTGTTGGAGTTCTCGCCATCTGCCCTCCTGGGATTCCTCGTCTTCAAACATAGACACAGATTCCATTTGTAACATGTCACCATTTATTTTTGGAACATTAATAGAACTGTTTACATCAACTTGAACATTATCTTTCTCCTTTTCTTCCAACGGGGCTAGAAAGGCTTTCCATAACTCCGGTTCCAACGTCCCAGTTGTTTGATCGATTGCCAGTCCTTTACTGTTGTCCTCATCGATAGTAGTAATGGGCACAGATGCATCTCTCAGATAATCGTCCCACTTCGTTCTCTTCCCAGGTTCCATGAATTCGTAGGTTCCCAAGGCCCTCGCCGCCTCCTAATCAACTGCACTTCCCATTGACTTATTTCTCTTCTTTCTTGCTTTACTCTGTCCTTCTCTCTCAGTTCCCTTCTCCACTCTCTTGCTTCTGCCTCTCCCCAATATGATGGTTTTTGGGGGAATCACTCTTATCTGCCTGTGATCCACCTCCTCCCTTGGTACTACCAGTCCCTCCCACCTATGGGTCCAGGGATTCTCCAGCCAAATCCATTCCCACCATGGTGGCAGGTTTTCCTCCTGCTTTACTCCCTCCCCTTCACCTGCTTCTACCACTGTTCTTCTGTCTTGCCTTCCCTTAATAATTTTTTATTTAAATGAAATTAAACTTGCTTTCAACACCTATCACTGTTGATACCTTTTTTTGAGGAGGTATTCAAATAAAAAACCGCCACCCAAAGCATATCCTGGATGATGTCCTCTTCTTGTTCAGTCTTTTGCCTCTTTGTTTTATGGAAACACTCCTGGAGTTCACAGAATTCAAAAGATACAAAAAGCATTTTGGACAGAGAAGATAGGTGGTTGGAGAAAAGGGTCAGGGAGGCTATACATGTGCGTATATAAAATCCCTCACTCAACAGGGGTGGAGGCCTTAGATACAACCTGTCTCCTATTTATCATGCTCCCCTTTTATGCCTTCCCAGAAAGATAAGGACCACACACACCAGAAAGACCACTGTTAACGTCCATTAACGACCCATGACAATGGGTGGAGAAGGACTACAGAAGTAGGTTTATCCCTCATCCCCAGTCCTTTGTACTTCTAGTGAGTCTATTCAGACCAGGGGGAAGTGAAACCGACATGGAAGATATATCAGGGATCTCCTACCGACTCTCCTCAGACTGAAGAAGCTACTTGGATGAGTAGTGAAACATTTCAGCCTAACAAGAAAGAACTCCAATTGCCATGACTCAACTCCCAGATAACCACAGCTGGATGACTGAGAATCTTGGCAGATATGCAGAAAGCAGGTTTCACGATTTAAGTCTAAACCTCGTGGCTAATGCAGTTTTCCAGGTCAATGACTTTCTGATGGTTAAACTAATCTAATCTGGCAGTATTATTAGTCATCACACCTGAGTCAAACCAAAGTGACAGAAGGTACATATAGATGAAGCTTTGTGCAACCAACTACTTCCAATTTATGGAGATCATATGAATTAATAATCTCCCCAGTGTCCTGACATTAACAGTAGTGCTTAGGTTTTGCAAAATCAAGGTCATGGTTTCCCTTACAGAATCAATCCATCTCATATTAGCTCTTCCTCTTTCATATTACCTACCACTTTTCCTAAAATTACTGTTTTGCTCAGAGAGTTGAGTCTTCTTATTGTGTGCACCAATTGTGGTAGTCTCAGTTTAGTCTTTGTCGCTTCCAGAGAAAGTTCAGGGTTGATTTGATCTAGGAGTCCCTTATTTGTCTTTCTGGCAGTCCAGGGTATCCATAGGCTCTCCTCCAATACTAAAGGAATTGCATATTATTTCTTCAGCTGTTGTATCCATACATAATAATCAAGAATGTCATAGTATGAATTATCTTTATATTGGTCAACAGCATTCCATTGTTATCCTTAAGGATTTTTTTCCTAGTTCCTTCATAGTACCTTTTTCAAGTTTTTGTCTAAAGTAGATCTCTTGACTACAGACTACATTTGAATTGATGATTGAACCAAAGTAGTGGAAAATATAATTTCAATTTCTTCATTGTCAGTGCTAAAGTTGTATAATTTTTCATAGTCATTTTAATTTTTATAGTAACCTAGTGTTGACATTTATTTATTTATTTATTTATTTATTTATTTATTTATTTATACATACATACATACATACATACATACATACATACATACATACATACATACTGTAAACCGCCCAGAGTGGCCTTGGCCATGGCTAGGGCCACTCTGGCTGATTTACAGTATATAAACAAAGAAAAAAAGAGAAAGAAAAAATAAAATACAAATACAGTGGTACCTCGCTAGACGATGACCCCGCTGTACGACGAAACTGCAGGATGATGACTTTTTGCGATTGTATAATGATTCACAAAAGTCATTCCTATGGGGGTATTCCGTTGGACATCGATTAGGTCTGTGCTTCACGGACCATTTATTCGCAAGATGGCGATATTTACAGCTGATCATCAGGTTCCTAAAATGGCTGCCCTGTGTTTTCCAGACCCATGCTTCGCAGGGCAGCCATTTTAACAGCTGATCGGTGCTCGGAAAATGGCTTCCCTATGGGCGATCTTCGCTGGACGACAAGGTAATTTCCCTATTGGAACACATTAAATGGGTTTCAATGCATTCCAATGGGGAAAGGCTTTTTGCATGACGACGATTTCGCATAACAGCAATTTTCCCGGAATGGATTATTGTCATCATGCGGGGCACCACTGTAAGTAATAAACTCAAAACATAAATATACATAAAACAAAAACATTCAAAGCTATTATCTTTCTCAGTCATTTCACCTCATTGCTGTTTTCTTCCAGTAAAATTGTGTCACCAGTAATTTAAAGTTACTGATATTTCTTCTACCAGTTTTCATTCCTTCATCTGAATTTTATATTTTCAGCAGATAGATTGAACAGATAAGAAGATAAAATCACCGTTGACTGACAACTTTACCAGTTTGAAGCCATTATTTTCCCATACCTTTTGTCAGATAGACCTTTCTCTAGAATGTAGGATCTGCAGGATATGGTGGCATATCAGTTTCTTTTAGAGTAGCCCATTGCTAATCACAATTCACACAGCCAATAGCAGCTTTACTGCACACATAAAGCACACCATCATCATTATCATCAAGTCAATTTTGATTTATGGCAACCCATTCCAGATGGAGAATACGCAGAAGTGGGTTACCATTCCCTTCTTCTGGAGATAGCCTGGGGATGTGCAGCTTACCCAAGACCACACAGGTCTTTGTTTGCAGGAGGCATAATGCAGAATTGAAGTCCCAACCCCTGGCTCCAGAGCTAGATGCCTAAACCACAGAGCTATCCAACCAATTTAAAGCACATAGAATCTTTATATAAATAATTAATGGATGTAAGTCTGACATTCAGAAATGGCGACATAAAACCTGTTTCAGAACATTTCTGCCTTTGAATGACCTGGAAATGACAGTCTCGGGGGGCAAAAAAACCCAAAACCCACTATAAAACTAGTTTTGAAAGAATCACAGCTGAAATAACGTGCAACTGGGTGTTATATGCTACTCAAAAAAATAATAATAATCAAAGCTTCTTAGTTCATTACCAAGTTTGAGATTCTATATTGATTCCCCCAGTTCGTCACTTGTGTCAACAATACTATTCTTCCTTTGTAGACTTACAGTGTGATAATTAAATTATTCATAGCCTGATAATCCTGTTCCTTTACTAATAAACTATTCTCACTTTGTTCATTTCTGTATCCTCCCCGGATATGGCCATGTATAAAATATGACAGCTATATAGTTTCACTTTAAAGTCTGAAGAAGTGGGCTTGACCCACAAAAGCACTCATCAAAATATAGTTGTTAGTCTTTAAGATACCATAACACTTTTGCCTCGTGTTTTCTGACATAAGACACCAACTGATTTTTCTGTTGAAATTCTTTGTTATACTGTACTCCAGTAGTCATAGTATATTTGCAATATTATCTCTACTGCTTCTTCTGTTTCTGAAATCAGGTTGAATATCTGGTATTTTTTGCTCCATGTATTATAAAAGCCTTGGTTGTAGAACCCTAAGTACCACTTCACTTGCACAGGAAATTTATGAGTTGGTCCTATAGTTGCTATACTTTTTGTTACCTCCTTTCTTAATTTTTGAGTGTACTGTATTGTTGATTTACTATTCATTGCTTTGATGCGTTGTTCACAACAAGTTTATTTTAAAAACTAAATAAAAATCTCAGTATTTGGATTTCTTGTATTACTGGGAGTTGGAGTAGAGTTGAGGTCTCTTCCAATTAAACTATTCTGTGTTGCTTAATCATTTTCAAGACATTGCTTCTTTCTTGGAAGTGATAAGAACTTTTGAGAATGTGGTGGTAGTTGCATTTTATTAAACTGTTGTTTTCTTCATTTTTCTAGTAAATATAGCACTTGCACTGGCAGCAAATGATTCGGTAAGTGATCATCTAATTACTGTTCTAGTGTTAATAGACATCTTGATAATAAGTGCGTACAGCTGTTTTAAAATTCGTCACTTACGAGCTGGGGAAGATACCTTGCTTTTGGATGTAGTTGGATTAAGGTGGTACAGTAGAAGATAACCTTTGTCAGAATTCTGGCTAGCTATGAAGAATCCTGGGCAAATGATTATCTCATTGGCCTCTTGCCAATCTGCCATCAGCAGTGAAAACTCTGTACAACAGGAATATATTATGGCTTTGGAGTGGAGGCAGTGAAATTGTCCTCATAAAGACCAGGTAGAACCACCACAGGACAAATTAGGCCCAGGAGCTGGAGAGTTCTCTCCCATTCTTTACAATAGTCTGTAAGGTGCATCAGTATTATTTCAATACTCTATTGTGAGACTTTAGTCTATGGGCTATTGGCCTGCCTAACATCCGTTTTTGATATTTGCAGAAGCCCCTCTCATACCTGTGAGCCAATAGACAAGCAGAAGAAGTAGTATCACAGGTGCTGTCCCTACCCCGTCTCCTTGCACACTTCTGGTACATATAGTTCTGTGTGCACAAACTATATATATGTATACTTAATCTGTTAGATTGCAGATCCTGTCTATTCAAGCGTCTGCCAACCCATAACAAAAGCCTTACACAATTGTGCTTTGTATGCATTTGTATTAATGCCTTCATCTGAACATGAATACACTGTAAGAGTGAAGCCACCAGCTGTGCTCTTATTTCTGTTGTATGCACATTCATTTCAGTATGTGAAAGAAGTTGCAGATAAATGTTGAATTCCTGACTTACAGCTCAGTCTCTAAGCCACTGTAGCTATACTGGCTATCCTGTATGATGGATAAGGGAGTTGCAGTCCACTTTAATAAATAAACCAAGCATATTATCTCTTGCTGGCATATAACCAGACAACACAGAAAACAAAACCCACATGAGTAAACCTAAAATATACCTGGAACATGCTACAGCACGTAAAAATTAATCTGATAGTGATGAAGAAAAACTAGAGTTTATTAGATAACTTGGAGTCACAGTTTATTGTACTGCTCAAGTTCTGCAGTGGTAAGTTTACATTTGTTGATAATCTGTCTGGTTTTCAGAGATCGGGGTTGGCAGAAAGGGAGGGATATGATTTTGAGAGTAACAGATGTCACATTAATGTTTGATATAGAGGTAAATTTTTAAAATCATTGTATTGGAAGTAATTGCTTGAGTGACACTAATAGGAGTCACCTGGCAAATTCTCAAATGCTGCACTGAAAGTCTTTCATAATTAATGCCAGATGATATTGCAGACAGTGCAATTCACAGTGGAGACACACTACACCGAGCACTGTCGCAAACAAAGAATCATCTTGACTGCCATTCATTATACACAGTTTTTTTCTAATTTTTGTTCCCTTTGCAATCAAAATAAAAATCATGTGTTCATTATTCTCCTCTTTATTTTTATCTCTCTAAAACTGTTTTTGCAAAATCATGTGAGTGTGTTAGGGTTCCTTAAGTACTTAGTGACTGAATGAATGTTCATGATGATAAAGCTTAAGGGTGAGCTGGAAAATGTGACTTCATGTCTTGTCTGTAGCTGAGACCAGCCCTACCATTAGACAGAGTGAGGCAGGTTCCTCTGGTGGCAGAAGAGGGGCAGGAAATGGTTGTGAGGTGCTGGAGGACAAGGTGTGTGCTGAATGTGGGTGCATTCCCATGGCTAAGGGTCTAAATCAGATTCAGCTACTGGTGCGGTCAGCTTCTGTTCTGTCAAGGGAGTCATTCTGTCCTTTGTCTCAGGTAATGAAATGCCATGGGTCAACGTTGCTTCCTGTAAGTGGCCTAAAGGAGGTTACTGTCCTTGAAAATAATTTCAGCCACACATTGGCAAACTGCGGACAAAAACCTAATGTCACAGGGCTAGTATAATAAGAGTTACTGACATAATATATGTGACGTGCTTTTGAAGGATCCTCAAGGCGCAGTGGTGAAAAACAGCTTGCTGTACTGCAGCCAAAACTGCTCACGACCCAGAGTTCTGTCCCGGGTAGTTGGCTCAAGGTTGACTCAGCCTTCTATCCTTCCAAGATTGGTAAAATGACTACCCAGCTTGCTGGGGGAGGGGGCAATGCGTAGCCTGCGTAATTAATTGTAAACTGCCCAGAGAGTTCTTTAAGCGCTATGGGGTGGTATATAAGCAGCACACTTTGCTTTTGCTTTGCTTTCTAAATGCTGAGCATTATTTATATAAGATTAAAGCTCATCTTTTCTTTCCATAAGTGCAGCTCTTATGTGCAAGGTCTATTTTGGCTTAGACCAGAGTGGGCGAGAAAGGAGAAATGAGAAAGGAGTACAGTGGTGCCTCGCTTAACGGTGATAATCTGTTCCAGGAAAATCGCCGTAAAGCGAAAATAAAAAGCCCATTGAAACGCATTGAAAAACTTTCAGTGCGTTCCAATGGGCTTAAAACTCACCGTCCAGTGAAGATCCTCCATACGGTGGCCATTTTCGCTGCCTGTATGGCGAGGAGTCCGTCCCTAAACACAGCGGGAAGCCATTTTATTTATCCGGTGGCCATTTTGAAACCACCGATCAGCTGTTTAAAAATCGTTGTTTTGCGAAGAATTTGTTCCCAAAGCAGGGAACCGATCATCGCAAAGCGAAATTCCCCCATTTAGGCCATCGTTTTGCAATCGCAAAAAGATCGTCTTAATGCGGATTCAGCATAATGCGGGGCAATCGTAAAGCGAGGCACCACTGTATTAGTGCAGTTTGCTGTGAGTCTGGAAGAGAGCTTTAGAATTTACCACGTTGACCCATCAGGTAACTATATGAGAAGTTAGGAAAGACTAGTTACTACAATGTAGTGAATTTTAACCTGGTTACAAGCTTATCTTTCTCGCTCTCAATAGAAAGCTTGCTTTGTCAGTATTCTGCTATAAATAACCAGATTTTGTCTTACCAGTGTCTTGCTGCTGTTTTTGAGTAGGATTTAGGAAGCTTTCTGTACTTGCATAACTTTAAAAACTGCAATTTTAAGAAACTTTTACAAAAAGAAAATTTAAGGCAGCATGATATATTTCCCAATACCATTACTAGCTGAGACATACATTCAGCTTTCTTTTTGCCTTAATTCCATGTTTCCGTTTTTAATCCAGACAACTTTAAATTTTAACACTTCAGTCTCTCTTTATGTGGGGAAAGAAAACTTAATGCTCTTCATTTGTTATGGTGTTTTTGGGCCCAGGAGCCACATGAGAGACATTCAGATGATTGTGTTATATACTGTTAGATGAATGTGTTCCTTCTAAATCAGAAATGTGTGAAGCCTGCAAAAGTTAGTAGATCTGCAGTTTTTCTGCATAATGCATGTATGTGTGCGGAGTATAAATGTTGCTCTTCAGATTGCTTGCATGGACGTGTTTGCATTGTAGCGTGTGTTTCTGCATGGCTGCAATTGGTGATACCTTGAAGCCTTTTTATAGTACAGGTCCCAGAAAACTAGGCCACTTGCCAATCTGGCTGGAGGGTTTGACAAATTACAGTACAAAAGTAACTTTGCCATGCTTTGCAATTGGCTTCCTTAGATCAATGCCAGTCCAGTATCCTCCATAGAATTAGTTTGAGACCTCACATTTCAGAACAGTTCCAAGCAAAACCATTTGCTTAGCAGACTGCTTCCGCTATGGGTAAAATTAATTGCAGTCGATTAAAAAATCCAATTCAGTAGCCAGTATAAAGGTCATGCCCAGTCAAGTATTGCTTTATAGCAAATGAAATGTTTTGGGCAGTCCCAGGTCACTAGATCTGGAATAACTGTTGAGTTACTGGGTTACTCTTACCAAGTTTAGCTAATTAGTGGCAAGAATGTGCTGTCTTTTAGGGCTGTACTGGGATTTCTAAATCTCTGTTGCTTTTCCCCTGAAGGGAACAAGCTATACCCTGGTATCTTCTTTCTTAATTGCCTGTTTCAGTTTTGACAGCAGTTTCTTTTTGATTCGTTGGAAATCTCAGTAGCTGGGTTTGGATCCCTTAGGACTTGCTCTTCAAGGGAACCTTTGGCTTTCCTGCCGGGATGACTCGTATTCCTATACAGGCAACTGTTTTTAATAAAAGCTACATGCATTGCCACAGACAATTTATTGTAGCAGGAACAACTCGGATTAATAGAAGCCAACTGTAATGCATCAAGATTGCTTGTTTACAAACAGAATATTTTAGAGAGCAAACACCAGCTGTGCATGACTACGGGTGGCACATTCAATTTGGGAATGTTATGGGATGGGGAGACTCTCAGTTAGCCTGATTCACAATTTCTTTCCTAAGGAGCCCTGTGATAGAGTGGTGTTCCCCCCCCCCCCGCTTCCAGTTGTTCAGTGTGGCAATAGAAGTCCTCTGATGATGCTTGATAATCCTAACACACAAGGTGGCCACAGGACCAGGTTTCTGTGCAAGGTGAATGTATAAATTTATTTAACCCGTGTACTCCCCCACTTAGTGATACTCAGTACTTCAGGATGTTTACAAAACAGATTGGCTATCCTCCAAAACACAACCCACATACAAATCCAAACAAGATTGTGATGACCAACTCATTATTTTTAAAAAAGCAAGGGGAATTCTACATTTAAAAATTAAAAATTCACAACATAACGGGATATTTCTTGAAGGTCACTTTATAAAATGCTGTATTTAAGGATATCCTGAAAGTCAGAAGGGATGAAGCCTAGAGCATCTCAGATTGAAGTTTATTCCACAGAGAAGGGGCCACTACCAAGAAGGTCTGATTTCTCGTTGTCTTTTTGGCCTCTCTTGGTGTGGCCCCCTTTAACACTGTAGTTCGAGAGGAGTGTGTAAAACAGGTACCTTTTTCCCCCATAGGGGAGATGCTCTGACAAATATCAAGGTTCTAAACTGTTAAGGGCTTTTATAGGTCAGCACCAGCATCTTGAATGTACATAGCTCACAGGAAAGGTGAGTTGCCTGTTTAG